CTGGCACTTGTGCTTGGAAGAAGAACAATGAAGATATTTTCATGGGAATCATGACAAATCACCGTAACTCACGGCTGATGATGATCTGTCCTGGCATGCTTAGTTTTTTCTCTCCAGTCAGTCGGTGCACAGTCTGGCAGTAGAAGCGAGCAAACCCATCATTGGTCACAGTGTCCCTGATATGCAGCGAACCTGAGGATGTTAAGGTGAACCTGCACCATGGCAACACAGAGTAAAATAGAGATCGGTAATCATAATTAAGTTTACAAAGATTTTATGAACTATATTTGTTTAAAACTCTTGATATTGCACATATTTAACAAAATAAAAGAAAACGATTTTTGTGAACCTGTACAGTGCTTTATGTAAAGGGATTAGCTTTTCAACACTGGGATTCTATCTGCAATAAACGACCATCAAGGACAATGCGATATGTATAATTGCAAAGAATATAATTGAAAAAAATGTGCATTCCATATAATGAATTGGCCATTGTCACAAACCTTTAGAGAATAATTTGGAAATGGGATTAAATATTGTAAAAGATCCTGAAGAGTATCATATGGATTAAATGTTGTAAAAGATCCTGAAGAGTATCATATTTGCAATGTGGCAATCGTCAGTGGGTAATTCTTCCCATAGCTTGGTCCAGTCCTCACTACAAACAGCACTTACTTGCCACCAGGATGTATGACGGTTCTTCCCAGCAAGTGTTCGTCCTTTAACCAGCTGGACACTTGGACCAACCCCCTCAAAAAGTTAGGGATGTTGCACTTCAGTACAGCAACATTGCCTCCCATTACAAAGACATTACGCACCTGCATCTGATACGGCTGCACCACATCTGCAAGGGGAACAGAGGACATCAGCGAAGCTGTCTGAAAAAGTCTTTACAAGACAAAGTTTTGTTAACGTTATTAAGACAAAATATTTTAAATAAACAAAATACCAATATACAAACAATAAATGAAATCAAATTAATAACAAACACCATTATAAATCAAAATTACTTTCAGTTTAATAACAAATATTGGCAACAGAATACAGGACTACCCATGGGCGCTCCTACATCAGGCATATTATCTGAAATTTTCCTCCAATACATAGAACATAATAATATAATAAACATTTTAAATAAAAACCAT